AAAGGGGGGACATCTGTAATATATTCAACAATAAAGGTAAGTTTAAAAAGAAAAAAAAGAAAAGAAAATGCCATCAAAAACAATAAAATACCTTGGAATAAATTTATAAATTTCACTAAAATGGTAAAAGATTTCTACTTTGGACTTACAAGACATTGATGAATGAAATAAAAAAGACACAAATAAATGGAAAGTTATCCTGTGTCCAATGACATTTTTACAAAAGTGGGAAAACACTCGTTAAGTGTATATGGAACCACAAAAAAACCTGAATAGACAAAAAATATCCTGAGACTGAAGAACAAAGCAGAAGGCATCACATTTCCTGATTTCAAAGTATACTATAAAGCTGTAATAATCAAAACAGTATGGTACTGGGGTAAAAATAGAAAAACATAGAGCAGTGGAACAGAATTGAGAGCCCAAAAATAAACCCAAGACAATATAGTATACTAATACATGACAAGAAGCCAAGAATACTCAATAGAGAAAAGGCTATCTTTTCAATAAATGGCTTTGGGATAATTGGATATTCACATGTAAAAGAATGAAACTGGACCCATATCTTACACCAGTCACAAAAATTAACTAACAATAGATTAAAGACTTAAATGTAAGACATGAAACTCCTAGAAAAAAAATATAGACATAAAGCTCTTTGACATGGGTCTTCGTAATGATTTTTTGGATATGACACTTAAAGGACAAACAACAAAATGAAATATAAGCAAATAGGACTACATCAAACTAAAAAGTTTCTGCACAGCAAGAAAAACCATCAACAAAGTGAAAAGACAACCTGTGGAATGAGAAAATTATTTTCAAACTATATATCTGATAAGGGGTTAATATCCAAACTATATAAAGAACTTATACAACTCAATAACAATTTTTTAAAAATTAAAAATGCAATTAAAAAGTGGGCCAAGAACCAAAAGAAGATATACAAGAGGCCAATAGGTACATGTAAAGATGCTCAGCATCACTTGCCATTCGGGAAATGCAAAAACCACAATGAGATATCACCTGACGCCTGTTAAAATGGCCATCAACAAAAAGAGAAGAAATAACAAATACTGTCACGGATGTGGAGAAAAGGGCATCCTTTGCACTGTTGGTAGGATTATATGTTGATACAGCTACTATAGAAAACAGTAGAGAGGATCCTCAAAAATTAAAAATAGAAGTACCACATGATCCAGCAATTCCACTTCTGGAAATTACCCAAAGGAAATAAAAATACTAACTCAAAAAGATATATGTATCCCATGTTCATAGCAGCATTATTTATAACAGCCAAGACATGGAAACAACCTAAGTGTTCATCAATGGATGATTGGATAAAGAAATTGTGATACATATATACAACTGAATATTATTCAACCACAAAAAAAAGAGGAAATCTTACCCTTTATGACAACAGGAATGAACCTTGAGGGCATTATGCTAAGTGAAGTAAGTCAGACAGAAAAAGCACACACTGTATGTGCTTTTATATGTGGAGTGGAATCTAAAACAAAACAAACAAAAAACCCCAAACTCATGAAAAAAGAAATCAGCTTTGTGGTTACCAGAGACTGAGGAATGTGGCTGAAATGTACAAACTTCCAGTTATAAGATAAGTATTGGGAAAGTAATGTACAACAGGGTGACCAAAGCTCACACTGCTTTATGATACCCAGGGAGGTTTATTAAGAGAGTAGATACTATGACTTCCCATCACAAGGAGAATTTTGTTTTCTTTTTCCTTTATTTTCTTTTTATTGTATCTATATGAGAAGTTGGATGATAACTAAACCTATTCTAGTCATTTTGCAATATATGTAAATCAAACCATCAAGCGATATGCTTTAAATTTATGCAGTGATGTATATCAATTATTTCTCAACAAGATAGGAAAATAAATAATAACCTTTCTGGTCCTGGGGAATAGAGCCTGGAAAAAGAAGGCATAGAGTATGTTTATTAGACAGGGTGGGGCAAAAGTAGGTTTATAGATGTTTGTATGGAAAGTAATATAATAATTAATAAATAATAGTACAAGAATAAACTGTGTTTCATGTACTCACAATTGTAAACCTACTTTTCCCCACCCTGTATTGCGTAATACAAGTTATATTATTTTAAAGTAAAGCATTTATACATGGAATAAAAATAATTACAAAATAAGTTTATCTTTTAACAATAGTCTAGTTCATTGTTTAGCATCTCTTTCCTAGTATTAAAAACAAACACACCAAACACTAACATCTTCAACTGTTTGTCCTGGCATTAGTAACTGCAGAAGTATTTGCACTGTGTTCTTATTAATGCAAGTCAAGAATAAAGACATAAACACATGAATACTAATATGCACTGCACTGAACTAGTCTAATTAGGAATTAGATGACTTAACTTTCATTGTTTTCCCATTGCCTCTCATCTCACACATGTGAATATAATCAATAATCTTTACCTAATGATATATATATACTGAGCTCATTGTAAAATAAACCACATTAACTTTCACAGTATCCATAAGAAAAAAAAAATGAAGAAAAAGTTTGAACAACTCAGTGAAGAAAGATATTAAAGGAAGTCATTTTTGTATCGTTTCCGGGTATTAAGGCACTGTGTGGGCCACTTGGGCACCCTCACTCAGAAGACTGTTAAGATCAAATCACTTCTACTTGAAATGGCTACAGCTACTGCACTAAAAGTAATGAAGCAGTTTAGCCATTTGGTGGCAAGAACCCCCACTAGTAACCTGGGTTCACAGGCGAATACCATAGTGTGCACTTGGAAGAAAACAAGTGGCCCATTCTGAACAGCAAGCACAGCAGCAGTGTCTCATGGGCATAGCGTTTTTATTCCAGTGGATGTGAAGATCCCCAGGGAAGCCTGCTATAGAGATCCAGGACAATAATGACACATGGGAACACTGCTGAGAACTAATTCCAAGAGGAAGGGTCAGGAGTTATGTGCAATGGGAAAAAGTATTCTTAGCTACAGATAGTCCCTAAGAAACCAAAAATAACCAGGTTGTAGTTGGTATTTTTTTTTATTATTATTTCTTTCTGTTTATTAAGGAGAATCTAAATAAGTAAAGACACTGTGCTTGAGCCTCAGAACATAATCATTTTTGAATTGCTTGTCTGGTACATGCTTTTTTCAAGTATCAAGTATAAATGTAGCTGAACCACTGCATCTGAAACATTAGGGAATCTAGAGGTCTAGGCAACTCCAGAGACCTTACAGATAAAGGAAATGGAGACCCTAAACAGTTAAATGACTTGAATATATTTAAAAGTAGTAGATTACAGGTTCAAGGCTAGTGCGTTAATATTATAGTGTTTATTCTAATGGTACACCTATGTTACACTAGAATAAAACATACATAATACCATACCTTACATGGAAATCATAGTAGTGAAAATACAAGTGCACACAAGTAAGCACTCAATAAATAATATTTTCCATAGATTATCATAGAAAATAAACATTAATGCATGTTATTTTCTCACTTGAGAACTGATCAGTTCTACTCATCAAAATCTCTTTTTTTATTGATTTCTGAGAAAGGGAGGGGGGGAGAGAGAGAGAGAAACATTGATCAGTTGCCTCTTACACATGCTCCAAAAGTGATCAAACCTGAAACCTGGGTATAAGCCAGACTGGGAATCAAACCCACCACCTCTTAGTGAATGGGACAAAACTCTAAACAACTAAGCCACACCAGCTTGGGCAAAAGTCTACATTTTAATTCAGCTCTCTTTAGGCCTAAAATAAAACCCTTGTCAACATTTATAGATTTTTAGTGTTGCAAAGAATTTCAAAAATCACAAAATACCCTTTCATATTTGGATTTGTGTCTGGAAAGCAGCAACAACACTCCATGGCTCCTCCCTACCATTTTCTTCCTTGGGCTGATGAGGGGTACTGCAGTTCGAATAAGAAGAAGAAAAACATGAGAAAAATGAGTGAATCCCCAATGATTCCTCCACTAAGAATCCATTCTATAAAATGAGTCCTGAGAGACATTGGAGTCTTGGGTTTCACTGGAACCTGGCAGAAATGAGGTTAGAACCAATAACAGACCCCTTATGCTTCTTAACCTATCACACCCTAAGTTTCCATTGTCAAGACTATGTTCTATCTACTTTATATCCAACCACCACTCCCGTAACTTCCCCTTCCCCAACTCAACATACCACGACTGTGCCCAGAAAAATTAAATGGATGGATGGATGGATAAGTCAATAAATACATGAAATTTTCCTCTTTGGGTCCACTATAATTAACAATATTTATTCAAATATCAGAATAAAGTATTTTATCTCCTCCTTTAGGGAAGTATTGTCATTATTTTCTTGTTAAAATTTGCTGAATATGTGTAGCTGGAAAGTTTTTAATCATAATAAATACCGAAAGATATCATAAGTTGGGTAGCATAACTTCATATCCAGTTCTCAAAGAAAAATGTCTAGTCATGAAAAATTAGCATCTTCTAAATGTTACTTTCTATGTTAGTTAGACTTGTCTGTGCCTTTCAGAATGAAAAGGGATTACAATTAAAGTTAGCACTGGAATTGATGCTTTAAATGTTGAGAGAACAAGAGAGAGAAGTACTGTAGATTTGAAAGTATAGCTTAAGGAAGATCTGTGATATACCTGCTAAAGAAATGCAGTGCTGTTGTTAAATTGAAGCATGCTTTATTTTACAGCCAAAGAAAAGGTAGAGTATTAAGTGCACTATTAGCTGATGTTGATGAAGATGTGCCAAGAGCCTGTGGTGTATATACTGAAATAGAAGTCATTTCAACAACAATACTCTGCCCAGTTTACTCTCATTTAGCTGGGAGTGGGATGGGGGCAGGGAGCTCAATTAGAAGGTTCTTGCCAGTACTTCCTCATAGTTTCTAGGCAGCTCTTTGGAAAAAAGAGAATTGCAGATAGGTAGGGAAAAAACTCATTACCCACCCTCAGAGAGTTGAGAAAAACTGTGGGTTTGTACTACTCACGGCTCTGCCTGTAGGCTTCTGTCCTCAGCCACGTAGTTAGAAGGAATATAGCCCTCCAGCTGCTGGCCGGGGCCGACTCCCCTTTTCCCCAAGTGCCTGGCAAACCACCAGCCCTCGTGGGAATTGTCCAGGACTTGGAGCTTGTCGCCTGCGTGGAAGCTCAGGTCCTCTGCAGTCCGAGCCTGGTAATCAAACAGGGCCACAAAGTAGTGGCCCTGATGCCAGGGGGTACCAGAGGAGCAGGAGCCCCCTGTGTTCTCATTGTCCACCTGTTTGCCTGCCTCCTGGACAACACAGGGGAGACAGGGCTTCAAGTATTCCCAGAGCCTCAGGCAGATGTTGCCCATGCTGCTCTGGTGGAGAGGAGGGGAGAGGGGCTCCTCTCCACCCTCTCCTCTCCCCTTTGACTCTGCAGAGTCACTTTCTCTTCCTCCACCAGGCAGCTTGGAAATCCGCACCAATTCACCAGGCTTTGGAGAGTGTGCAGAGTTCTGTTTTGCAGCAGTCGGGCAGACCTGGCTGGCTTCTTGGAGGGACTCACCAGCTTGTTTTCTGTGGCTGCAGCTGCTGTCCCAGAACAAACCGAGTGGACGCCGGGCAGCTGCTCAGTGGCAAGATACCTTTTCTTCTTGTCTGCTTAGGAATCCCACAACAAAAATCAATTTAAGAGGGCTTTATTTAGACAAATGTCTAAGAGCAGGAAAAGGTCACCTTGCCTATTGTCCCAAGAAAAATTTAACAAGAGAAAGGTGTTAACTCCAGGTAAGATCTCCACATCCGTCTTGTCTTTGCCAGGAGCTCTCTGCTTACTTCAGGTCTGTCTCTGTAGTTTGACCAGCCTGACTCCCAGTGCTCTTTCCTTTTTGCTAATGAATAACAAACCAGCCAACGCTATTGCCTTTAACATCCTGAGCTATGAACAAGCTAATAATTTCCCCTTACTTCCTGGTTTCTTTTTGTCTGAGATCTAAATGAGAATTCCAGTCCTCTTTACCTCTCCTTTCTCCCACACCCAAGAGAGACCAGCGCCCTCATCAGGGAGTGAAATTCTTTTAAAGCAGCTGCCCAAATCCCCACTTCTGGACAAACAGGCTAGCCCAGGGAGCTTTTTGTCTTGCTCTGTTTCTAGCACAGAAATCAAGAGCAGAGATTTCCCCCTGCCCTGCCCACCCCCAAAGATGAGTAGGATTGTTTTGCCAGCACTAGGGGAAATAAAAAGGCAAATTAAAGCATTTAGATATTTGTTGCTGGACAAGGGGCAATTGGGAAAGAGCCACTGAGTTCCTACCTTTGTATCATCACTATGAACATGTTCTAATAGCTTCAAAGTCTATTTACAGTCTGGAAAAGTATGAAAGCAGATGACTAACATGCTGAGAACAGAAACTGCTTTTTCCCATGGAGACATTTCATTTCCCCTCTCTCGGGCACTATTTCTGACATACACACACAAACTAGGTGACCAGGAGAGAGAAAGACTAGCTGTGCTGTGTGTGTGCTGCTGTGGAGGCTCTTTCTGTTAACTGACCTCCAGGTGGATACTTGTTCCCACTAACTTGGTTAGCAGGAGCTCGACCGACTGGGGCTGAGAGCAGAACCCGATCCCCAGAGGCAGCGCGTTTTGCTCTACTTCCCTACTCTGGAGCTGGTTCACATGTGTGTGCAGGACCCCAAGGATTCCCACCCAGGCAATGAGGTTGGATGGATCAACACACTGCCATTTCATTGGTAGAGAGCACTGCAAACTTGCTTATGATGTGCCACTTGTTGGTGTATAAGACATTTATTTAAAAGTTTCTCTCTTAAAAACAATCTCTCTAACCTTTGGCGGAGCCTTGAATGTGACTAACCTGGCCCCCATTACAATCCCAAAATTACTGTTCTTTGTCAAACAGCAAGGCATTTTTAGTAATCAGAAAAACTGAACAGAAGGGGAAAAAAAAAAGGAAAGAAAGAAAACCAGAGAACCATGACCTCTGCCATTACCTTGTACTAAAATCAAGCATTTATGGCAGACAGATTATTTGGTTACAGCAAGACCTCATGTCACACTCCCAGGTTTCTCCCACTGTCCCGAGAGTCAGAAAAGTACCATTTTGGCAGGAGTAGCAAAGCCAAAAGCTGAGCCAGTTTGGTTTGTTGGTCTGTTTCTCATATGGCACCTAAAATACGATTTCATATATGAAACAGAATATAGAAAGTATATAATATTGAGAAGCCAGACAAATATTTTGTTCTAAACATAATATTAATTGTAAAAGTGTAGGATTCAATCAATGCCCCTGAACAGAGGCATAGACGCTAAAGCTTTTCCAGAGATATCTACATGATCTGAAAATGAACTAATATTTGGAAGCAATTAAAGAGATGCAGTCAAAACCAATCTATAAGTGGAACTGAGACTTAAAAACTTGAAGGTTGTAAATTCAAATATGCCTCCATGATGAGTATGACAAGGCATTCTGGAAAAGAAGTGGCCGACCTGCACAGCACAGTCACTGAGCTACTGAAAGAAATTGAAAAGGCGGCCAGCCAGCCAAAGGTGTCAAGTGAGCAATGGCCTGAGAAAGCTAAGTCAAGGGATGGGACAAGAAAAGGGTTCCCTGTGTCAACAGTACCAGAATTCTGCAGTCACCCAAGCTTGAAGCTTTGCAGTCATCTTTTATTCTTTCCTTAGTTTCTCTGAGCTCACCAATCATCACTTTTTGCTCAGTCTTTCTTTTTATTTATTCCACTTTTTTTTTTTTATTTCTTGTAGATGACAGCTGGGTACTGGGCAAAAAAAAAAAATTATCATTGTTATTATTCCCTAGATTATCTCAGAAGCCTCCTAACTAGTTTCCCTTCCCCTAGTTTATCCTAATATGTCTGACACATCTTGTACAACACTATGTTTTTATAATAGCAATAGGGCTGGAGGTCATATGTATACCAGAAAGAGTAGCTATCAGTTTTAGAGGGCTTTCTATTTGCCGGGCTAAGAATGTTACAAATGATACATCATGTAATTCTCAAAATGTAAAAGCAACAGCACCTATAAAAAAAAAAAAAAGTAGCATTTTTGAAAAAAAATCTTAAAGAAGAAATTGGGGCTTAGAGAAGTTAAGTAACTTGTCCAAGATCATGCAGCCACCAAGTGGCTGAACCATGAGTAACACCATGATCTCAGTCTGACTCCGGAGCCTCAGATTGTAACTCTTCAATTATGATGACTCTTTTAAAAAAGCTAATGTTATTCTTCCAAGTAAAATTCTTCAGAGACTTCCAACAATTTTGGAATAAAACCGAAACTCTTTAGCTGGACACACAAGGCCCTGCTAATGTCTCTCACCTCACAACCCTTACTCCTGCACCCACGCCCTGTGTTGCAGGTTCACCAAATAACCAGCCATTCCTGAGACCAGAGGCCCTCCTTTCTCTGCACCTTTGTTTCATCCTACCTTATTCCCAGGTGACTTCCTTGTGATTTTCCCAGGCTGGGTTCAAGTGGTACCTTCTCTGCCATAATAGATTAGAGGCACTGTACTCTGTGCACCCCTAAAGCCTCTGTACACCCCTAAAGCCTGACACACACTTTTACTTGTTTGCCTATTGAATTCCACTTGGTTTTCTTGCTTGTTTGACTTTCCCAGGAAAATAAAATTTCTAGGGATGAAAAAGGAGCTCTGTAGCAAGACTGGCAAGTTCAGTGGTAGAAAGTAACCTCACAGAGTGATCCGATTATAAATTCCTAACTGGGTATGTCATGGTGGGTAGTCTAGCTCCAGGTGTATAATTTTTTTGGTAAAAGGTTTATCTGTACCTTAAGCAAGCCCTGCCCATTGTTCTTGTGCATCTAGGTTAACACATCTTTGAAATGCCAGAGTAATCTTTTTTTCCAGACCCCTTGAAGGCATAACCACCCTGAAGAGAGCACATAATCTGTTAGCTGTTCTGTGTGAACCCTGAGAAAGTAAGACACCTATTAAGAAGGTCTCCTAGTGGTTCACTGGGCTCAAATTTTTTAAAACAGAATCTAGCAACCATTTTTGCACAAGGGACCTCTCACACAAACTGCACTTCATGGAGAAGCTGGCATTGGACTACCTGCCTCTGTGCTGAACTGCCTGCCTGCACTGTGTTTCTTCCATCTGAGCCAGCTCTTATAAAGGGGTTCCTGGAATCCTATTTCAACCAACAGGACTGAGGCTCTCCCTATCCAATCAGAGTTGTACAGCTCCAGCCAATCAGAACAGCTCTATTCTAAGCAATCAGGACAGTGCCTTTTGGACCAAACTGTGAGGATATGGAGTCCTTATTTGCATGAGATTGGACCAATCAGGGACCAGGAGTGGAGACTCCTATCCATATAAGCCAGCTCCACTCTGGCTTTGGGAGTGTACTTTCCAGTGAAAACTAAAGATTTCTGAAGATTGTTTCCCCCCGCTAGAGTTGAAACACCAAAGATGTCTTGCCAGAGCAGAATGGAGCAGGCCAGCTCAGGGTAAAACAGACCACAACAGAGCAGACCATGGACCTAGCACAGTAGAGCTGAATAGCCAGAAAGGGGCCTGACCCCAGGGCAGCCTGGCCCCAGAGCTGCCCCACAGCCATGCTATATCTTACAATTGATCTGTTTTGCACTGAATAAAGTTTCCTTCTTCACCACACCCCAAATTGGGGATTCCTGTTGGCATTGAATTGGCACCAACCATCAGTTGACACCTGCAATCCAATCCCCACCATGCTGTCTCCCACCCTCATGTAATCCCTCAAATCCAAATGCATAAAAAAAACTTTGGCCCCGCCATTGTGGCTCAGTGGTTTAGCACTGACCCATGCACCAAGAGGTTGTGGGTTCAATTTCTGGTCAGGGCACATGTCCAGGTTGTGGGCCCAATGCCCAGTGGGGGGCATGCAGGAGGCGGCCAATCGATGTTCTCTCTCATCAGTTTCCATCTCTCCTTCTCCCTTCCTCTCTCTCTAAAACCAATAAGGAAAAAAAATAAATAAAAAGAAACTTCGAACTGCCGAACTGCCATTCTTCGGAGCATTTGATATCTTTCTTCCTGCCATATGTCATCAATTTGACTCAAACAAATTTACAAAAATTCCCTACAGGTTTGGACATTCTTACATCAACATTTCCTACTAAGCATTTTTAGGGAAGAATGAATATTCAGTACATAAGTAACACTCAGTAACTATTTGGGGCAGAGAGTAGGGGGAGGAGAAAGAAAGTCATTGGGATAAGATAAACACATGCAAGAATTCACAATTGAGGGCAAAAGTTCTACAGTGTGAAAACTGCTGAAAGCACTAAAGGAGTGACTTCTGTCTATTGCCTCTCAGTCCCCTTCTTTCCTCT